CTCTCTCTCATTCTCTCTCTCTCAAATAAATAAATAAAATCTTTAAAAAAAAAAAAAAAAGAAATCAAACCATACTCTGGAGTCATGACACACAAACAACAGTTCCTAAAAGCCACAGGATCACTTACCTTCAGAGGTGACTCCTAATGTTTTTTAATCCTTTGTAAATGGGATGAAAGATATAGACCCTCTCCCAGAAAACTGTACTCAGAAACTATTTTGCATACATTTTCAGAGATGCACCTAAGAAGGGGTCATTAGTGAAGAATATATATTTGAAGTGACATCTATTTGAAGAGGGAAATTTCCTTAACAAATGATTGAAAGGCATCAGTGTCTTAGTTTTCATAATAAACCTACCATTTACGGAGCACTGTTACAAATCTAAGCTCCCAAGAGTCTGACAGTTACGGTGATACAGACCTAGACAGTTATTATTCCTGTTTTTCAACTCAGGAAACTGAGGCACAGATTTACTGACTTGCCTAGAGTATCCAATTAGTAATTAGAGATGGGATTAAAATGTAACTATTTGATTCCTTATCCAGAACTTTTCTGCTACTAGAAAGAAAAACACTGTAACATCTGCTCCTACTACACTTAACCAGGCATGAGCTGGATTGGGGAATTCTATACACTAACCCTTATTTGTCTCATCAATAAAATACCTTTTCTTGGGATGCCTGGGTGGCTCAGTCATTGAGCGTCTGCCTTCAGCTCAGGTCATGATCCCAGGAACCTGGGATCGAGCCCCGCATCGGGCTCCCTGCTCCGCGGGAGGCCTGCTTCTCCCTCTCCCACTGCCCACTGTTTGTGTTCCTGCTCTCGCTATCTCTCTCTGTCAAATAAATAAATAAAATCTTAAAAAAAAATACCTTTTCTTCATACCATTTTAAAAGAAGGTAATATTTCCAAGTAAATGAAGCATCCCAATCTGTTTACTACATTGAATGAGCATCCTTCTCTGTTTTACATGACTAAGCTTTCTTCTCCGTATAGATTAATATAATCCTTTCCCTGAATCAGGGTCAGTTGCATATACATTTATTACTGCATTGTACTACAATACAGCATTCAGTTATGATCCCACAATGTCCTTTGAACATTATGAAATTAAAAAGACAACTTGCCCCTGCATTTAATGACCCACCCTGTTTGTGTGGTCAGTCCAGCTTCTCCTTTCATATTAACAACACATTTCTGCTGCTGTCATTACTTCAGCCTTTCCAAGCACCAATCCCCTTCTACTCATTTGCTGCTTCTAACTTGCCATGTGGACAGAGGGATCAGAAAATTAATGTATTAGAATTTAGAGTCCCTCTATTTAGGAAAGTACAAAAGCTTTAATTCTCATGTTCTTGTCTATTCAGTGGTCTTTCTAAGGTCCAATGATATCTGCGTTCAAATAACTGACCTTCAATCTACACACATGGCACAAGCCCTCATAAATTTGAGATTTGGTTTTTCTTTGAATGAAGTAATATTCCCTTAACAAAAGATTATCTTTGGTTCCCAACACAAAAATAATAATAGAATCCTATGACATGCTTAAAATAATTTTCTCAAACAGAAAAACAGAGGTTAAGAAATTCAGAAAAAAATTACAAAGAATAGAGCAAATATAAACCTTTCCATTCTGGTTATTCTTTATAATTTGTTGAAACATGCAGTAAATTAAGGGATGCAAAAGAAAATGGTTTTTTAAAAGTAATGTAGGCTACAAAGCATGACATTTTTCTACCATATAGAACTTATCTGTATTTTTTCCTTTAAATATTAGCCATCAAGTATTAAAGACATGCTTTATAATTATAAAAGAAAAGTTAAATGCAAAAGAGATCAACAACAGAAAATGCCTTAGTTTACATCTAAAACTTTTTTCCTAACTAAACAGGAAAACTGATGAAATCCAATTTTAACTGAAGTACTTGATTATTGGTGAGAAGTCCTATGAAAACAATCACTTGTGACTGAGTATCAAAAGGTAAGTTATTGGGCATACTGTTGCCAAAATAAGATTAAAATCCATATTACTCAATTAGACGTTAATGTTTTTCTGTTGGTATTATGTAAGAAATTTGGAATACCGATATTCGTATTTTTACTATTGTCGAGTTTCACAACGGCCTGATTAGAAATATCTAATATATTTCTAAATTTAATTATTTTCTTCCACTTTAAGGACAGGATACACCTGAGTAGCATAAGAGACTGGTCTGTATAATAGAAATAGTACCACTATTAAGCATTTCCTACGTGCCAGGCATTTTACATCTGGAAATTCCTTCCATCCTCACAGCAACCCTGTGAGATGAGAAGGCTGAGGCTTCAAGAAGATAAGCAGCTTTCCTACAGCGGAGCCCATAAATACAGGCAAAGGTGTCCGAGTTCATGTCATCATGTTAGATCACCTCCTGTTTTAGAGTATTTGATTTTAGTACTTTAGACTACATTTTCTGGATTTCATCCTTCCACACCGCCAATACCGTTCAGCTTAAAAATAGAACAAAATCACTGGAGAACTCATCAACACCTCCAAGTTCATTAGAATAAAATCTATTTATGGTTTATGTATGGCCATATGAATGGTGAAAGAGTATCCTGTTTTGTTGACACATTTTAAGAGTATGCTATGTAAGAACAGATAGCCCAGAAAAATATCTCCTGAAGTGCCAGAAAGAACTGTAGCAATTAATGCTAATATACACAAATCTTTACCAATTATTTGACATTTTATATCATTTTTAATACCCCCTCACTACCTCCAATCTTCCAAAAAGCCCAAACAAAACCCTAATAAAATGTGATAAAAACCAACTAAATATAAATCCTCCACATATTTAAGCAGTTTAGTTTTACTCTTATTTCATTCTAAACACAATGAAACTCAAATAAAAACAGCCCCTACAATGTTCTTCCTTTGGCAAAAAAAATTTTTTTTACCAGTCCACAGACTATCACGTTTATTCCATCGAAGTATGTGGAAATTTTTAGTTCATTATCTGTTTCTTATTAACATTCAATGAATTGTTTGTTTTTTAAAAATAAGAACACAAACAAAAGAAGACAAAACCTGGAATCTGGAAAAATAAGAGCTTGTGTTAGTCAAAGATCTGCACCAAGAAGCAAATAAAACCTTCCATGTAACTTTTCCTAAAAATCAGAACACCTCATATTCCCTGTGGAAAGGAAATGACATTTTAAATACAAAGACATAAGGACTTACTATAGCTCTTGTCCATATTTTTTTAGTATTTAAATTTCCATAGTATTTAGAACAGCAGTATTTTTCTACCATAGCATGTTAATTCTTACAATTTATTTTAATGACACCTTGAAAAATTAAACTATATTTTAAAACCCAACGGTTTCTTACATGTCGTGAACATTTCTGGTATGATTTGAGTGAGAAATCACTAAAAGCATTTCAAGACTTTTTATAAAAAACAGAATGATAGCCACATCAAAGATTCAAGGGAATGTAATTACTACATTGTCACCAAATGGTTATAATCACTTCAGATATAATTAGTTCCCAATATTTAAGTTTGATAGAATGTTTTCTTCTTTAGGTACTAAAGATCATTTTTTTACATTCCCATTAGAAATTAATCTTTATTAGAAACGATACCAAAGGAAACAAGAGAATGTTTACAAGACATAAGCTTGAATACAGGGAATGGGGGTGGAGGATAAGAAAGCTAGGAAACCAGCAACAGAAGACGTCAGAATTCTTCTGAGCCTACTCAAGAACCAGATTCCATATAACCACAACAGAATGAACTCACTATTCTGGGTAGGAGGAAACAGAAAGAAACAATTCTGAAATAAATAAAATGGCCAAAACACACTGACAATATAAAATCAGCCACTGAATTTTGGACCATTTCCCATAAACCTCAATTAAATAAGCTATTACTTTAACCAAAACACCATCACTATTATCATAGGGAGCATCATGTATCCACGGATGGATACTAAATGCCAATGTAAACTACAAACATCAATTTAATAAACTTTAAGTGTGAAACTAAAAGAAAAAATATGTTAATGCCTGATACTTGAGTAAGCAAGAAATAAAACCAAAGAGACAGATAAAAAAGAGGCGCAAGCTTTCAAAGTACATAGCAAGAGATAAAGTACTATTTGGAAAAATCTTATATAACTGATTGAGTGATCTAATTCTGAAGGCTCAGTGGTACACACTGTATGCGAGATGACTAAAAATGGTTTGTGACCTAATAAATGTCTACATTTTGTTGTCGCTACTGTTGTACAAAGAAAGAAGAGAAGCAATTTTTGTTATTCCCGGTAAAACATTAGGAGATGGCAACTGACTTAGAAAAACCCAAGGCCGGGCGCCTGGG